AAGTCGACCTCTATAATGATAAAAAGATGCTAATATAAACATATATATGTATGAGCAAACGATCTAATTGAAACAATCGTCGAAATAACCGCAAAATAAGTAATTGAATCATTGTTAATAATACTACCTTCATAAGGCGAAAACGTTTTAAGCTAATGACATGGACCTTCTGTTAGTTACTATCAGGCTTGGTACAAATGGAGTGACCTTTGCTTTTAAAATCCACTTTCTCTGAATCCCATCTGAGGACCAACGAAGAGTGTCATTAAAAATGGCGAACAGTTTTTCTTAAAATACAGTTATTTGTGTGATAGGTAATCCTAATTTTATCGTAAGCTACCAAAGTTTTTTTTTCATCTTCAAATTCGTGATACTTCCTCATTTGTTTCATTATGTCAGGGAGTTAAGGCGAACTCTATTTAAAATCATTTATAATCTTCACGAACTGTGTAGTGTGTGAACACATGTGTATTGTGTGTGTGTGTGGTGTGTGTGTGTGTGTGTGTGTGTGTGTGTGTGTGTGTGTGTGTGTGTGTGTGTGTAATATGCATATATATATATATATATATATATATATATATACGAATATATACATATACACATATTATTCCATACGTATATATATATATATATATATATTATAGAATATAATATATATATAGATACAAACACCAAACACACACAACACACACACACACACACCACACACACACACACACACCACACACACACACACACACACACACCATATATATATATAGTATGGTATTATATACAACACTCTTTCAGAGACTGGTATAGGAAAGCAGCTCCAGGGTTTTTGGACCGACTACCTACTCCTCGGCCCCGAAGCAGCCGCCGACGCGCCGAGTAATTCTTAAGCTCTCGTGACGGGAGATGCAGTCACGCCTTCGAACTCGAGGAAACGATACAGCAAAAAAATGCGGGATGACGCTGAGATGCGGACGCCTTTCTTGACAGTATCTACGGGGAAGCATTAGGGAAAGTGGCTTTTACGCGAATTGTCTGCATTACCTTTAAAGCTGTTTTATGATTTGTATTTCTACATAGCGTTTCTTGTTTTAACGAATTATCTATTCAAATCGTCTACTTTTGTATATTAACAGAAGAGAGAGAAAGGAAGATTAGACAGATAAGAAATAAGTGACAGGTTGACTGATGTTAGATAGAATATATATACACAGAGAACCAGAAACAAGTTTAAACCCAAAAATAGTCCTCTATAACATCCCTACACAGGACATTGTACAACAACCCCTTCGCACTGCTTGCTTCCAAAAGAATTCTTAAAGTGAAATAGAGCATATATAAAATGAAATCAAAATAGTCGCTCTTTCTCGAAAAATAAGAACAATGTAAATATAACGCATTTCACATGACATCGCACTATCGGTTAGGTTTACAGTGGCCTTTGTGTCTTCCACGTATTGCCGACGGTCCCAAAACAACATCGGGCGCTTTTCTCATTGATGGCGTCCGGTCTGGATTTCCAAATTGACAGATACATTTGTTTTTTTATCCATTTTCCTTTGGTTCCCCAGTAGTAAGTCAAAACATTAGCTTTTTATCTTGATTTTGTTGTTTTAACCTAGGTAGCTTTATAAACCGGTTCTGGAAATCGGTTTTTAAAAATATATAAAACGATCTAACGTGTTCCGTTTCTCAGTGATGGTGAGTTCTACTGGCCTACAATCAATTGGCCGTTTATCGAGTTGAAACGAAAAGGAAATATGTATACAGTGTCACGACGTGTGCTTTATTGCATCGGATATTTTAAAAATCGTTTCCTTGGCATGGGTATTCCTGCTGACTACCTGGCAATTGCTACTAACAATTCCTATGGGCACCATTAATATGACAAACACACACTGATACAGCATTTGCCCAATGACGATTTTTCAGTCCACACATCACAACATGGAAAAATAAAGAAAACGAAAACAGATCTGGCCGTTAAGAGAGGTCCTACTTTGTAGCAAATACAGAGTGCAGATTGCGCCAACCAGCGCATCTCCGGCCCGGTTGCAGTAGGAAACAACGCGTTTCTTTTGTTACTCTTCTTTCTTCCAGCGAACTTACTCTCTTCCCCGCTCTCTCTATTCAATGAACATCACACCGACTGCTTTCAAAGGTATTACCCCTTCACAGTCCTCTTGGTCACAACCTTTCTTTGTTCAAGAACTGCAGCTCAGATCGAAAGGAGTAAAGGTAAGAATGAAGAAGCGGTTGTTTTGTCAAAAATACAATACTACCGTCAAGCATTGCTGGGAAACTGTATACAGTCTCTTTACATTACCCTACGATTGTATGTTTAAAAACTGCAAATTCTGTTTTCTCAAAAGATTATTTTCATTGATATTCCAGATAGTAAACCTGAAGCTTTAGTTAAAAGATAGCAATGGGTATATAATTTCACACAATTCTCTATATAAATGGTCCGTTTCCTATAAAGGTTTATACAAATTTAAAAGTGGCCGAAGAATAGAAAAAAAAGAGAGAGAGAAGAGAAGAAAAAAGAAAATAAATGTGTATATAATATCATAAAGGAGAGAGAGAGAGGAGAGAGAGAGAGATAGAGAGATAGGAGAGAAGAGATTGAGAGAGAGAGAGAGAGTTGGGAGAAAAATACTACAAGTGAGGTGAGATAAGAGAAAGAGAAGAGAGAGAATCCAAAAAAAAAAAAAAGAAGAAAAAAAGGGAACCTGATTTCACATAACCCAGCAGGGCAACCGAGATCGTGAAAATTCCCTCCTAAGCCCCAATATAATGCCATAAAGGGACCGGTTCGCCGGCCGCCGTACTTGATTTCGGGGCACTCGAAGCGGAGGCCCCTGTAGGCATTAACTCCGACAGGTGCGTGTGGCGCCGGGGTGACGGAGCAGGAAGGGAAGTAAGAAATACGTTTCGTCGTCTGCTCTTTAAATCCCTTTCGTCCTGTTTCCTCCTCCTTCTCCTTCTCGTCCCGCAAGATGGCGGCAGGAAAGGCTGTTTTTCAAGAATATTCGATTTTTGTTTCTTCTTAGTTCGGGAACGGAAAGGGAAAGTGAGCAATGAAAAGAGCGGGTTTCAGTACGAATTTGATATTCCGAAATACGGATTAAGAAGTGCAAGTTATAGCATTTATTTTGACATTGGGGTTCAAAAAAGTCTTAAGTTTAATCCAGCCGTTTTTCCCTTGCTTAATAAAACATGGTTCTTCGGGTATTTTTTGTCCCGCGCTCGCTACTTGGTACTTAAGTCTGCACAAAGCTATATTATATTCCCACGGCGATCATAAACCAATGGTAATGGATTTATGAGCACATATATATACTTTATTTTGCCTGTTATGTTGTGTGTTTGTTTGTGAACCCGCGCACACCCACTGCTTAAAAGGACAGTAATCGATACTTCGAATCAGAAAAAGAAAGGAGAGGAGGGAATAAAACTTAAAATTGAGTTAAGGCGAAAACCTTCAGATCAAAATTCAATTCGGCGATTAAGACTTTTCAAAGAGAGAGATAAAAAAAAAGGTGAAAAGAAAGTAAGAAAAGAGACCGCTAACATCGAACCGCGTAAACAAAAGTCTCGAAACGTGGAACATTCGACACTTGGAGACTGGTCATTCAGTTTCACACGTGAGTAAAAGTTCACCTTGTTTGAAAAGAAGAAAAAGTTTCTAAGTATTCTAATCGGCAAATCTGCTCTTCTGGAAAGTTGAGTGTATGTTCTCCTCGAAATGAGGGAAAAAAGTTACCGAGGTTACAAGACGATACGTAAACAGTTGATGTAAACATTTCGGAACAATGTCGATGGTTCCATCGTGATAAAGGGAAGGCCTATGGAGTTTAGAACAATGTATTCGAGCGTGTTTACGTATTGGATGCAACCAGCGACATATAAACAAAACGAATAATGTGAATATGCAAATGAGAGTCACTTATCAAGAGCACTTGAACCTTAACCATAAATTTTATTAAGAAAATACATAAGGAGCTCTGATACACGCACAAGTAACAAGTAGTGTGGATGCATCTGGGCCAAAAAAGAAAAGCAATAATATTTTTTAAAAACTTTTCTCGTCTTTTTGGGAAATTGGCTCATACATACCACGTTCGAATGAAGTTTTTATTACTGTATCATACGCCTCCCTTGCCTGCATTCTCTGGCTGGGGTTGGACGCACACACCGAGCCTTAACTTGCATAATGAGGTTGTTACAACTTTCCCCTAACGGCGAGGAGCTGACCGCTCTTCTTTAGGTTGCGTGGTGAGGCCTGGGAATCGTGCGTGCTTGCGATTGGCCAAATGATGATGTTGACTGTCTCGGCCTCGTTTGTAAAGGTCTCGAGGGAGTGGGGCTTCGTTCGTAACGTTTGGTAAAGTTCCGCGCGTTCTGCGTTAATGTTCCCCTGTTGTCTCTTTTTCCTACGCCGGTTGTTTACGTGGCTGCTCATTGTCAAGAACTCCTACTTGCTCGAGTTAGTAATGAAGATTGCGCGTCAAAGGATAAAAAATACAAAACATCTCACAGAGCAGATGGAGTAAATTACAAATACATTAACGATTAAACAGGCAACAACTTAAAGACGAAGGAAAAAGACCAGAAAAATACAGAAAAGAAAACGAAAGTAAGAAAATTAAAACAGCGCCCCCCGACCGGACACCATCACCGTCAGGATGTGATGCCATGACTTCGCGTTTCCTCCTCGCCACTCAAGGGAAACATTTTCTCCGAGTTTTCCACTCAATAAATCGAGCCTTCACGCTGGGTCAGGAAGCTTACCCTATATATGGCTTGGATCTGCTGCTTGAGGGCTTTCATCTTATTCCACTAGGTGAATACGATAGGGAGGGAAGTTTCAACGCGGTGGATGGCGTTTTGTTTGTTTTGGGGCGCGTGTGTGCGTGTGTGTGCATGGGAGGGGTAGGGGGGTTATTCTCCCATTGGAAAAGATTTTGTATTAAAAAAAAATCCACTGTCTCGTATGTACTCGTAATTTATTTTTGTTGCGCCAGTGTAAACCCTCTTAGCTATACTTTAAGTCTATATGATGATCATGCTGGAATATTATGCTTATGTTCTAATATATATATATAACCTACGTTATGAGAAAACTCGGGATTTTCAAAACTTCACTAGGATGTTTGTTCATTGCCTTTTAGTTTCTGTGCTGTAAACGATGGATTGTGTAAAAGATAAACTTTCAAACATAAAACTCTCTCTATAATAGTTTTCATGGAAATTAACAAATGTTCCCCCTACTGCTATACTTTCAAACCCATAAAAAAACCAACAATTATAAATCTCCAAAACTATACAAAACGATGTCTTTACTGCATGCGAAACATCCGAGTACAGTATAGACGAATCAACAACAGAATCATGACCTTGCAAACCTGCGCTTAACGTTCGTATTCCACTGCCTTGGTCACAACAGATGAGGTTTGGGGATGTCACCGTAGTAAGGATATGTGAAGAATGAAGGAGTTGTGATTTCATGTTTTTTTTCATTCAAGGAAATATTTTGAATTAGTGTAATGAAGTAAGGCCAAAGTGCAACCGATTACCAAGTACAAGAGCTAGCATATTTATTAACAGTTTACTATTTTCGTTTCTTTAAGGAGATCGAGCAAAAGCAATTAATTTAATGATAGTCTGAAAAGGCTTGTTGTTTTATTTTGTGTAATATTTAAAAAAAAGACAGAATAATTTGAAGATAAAAAAAATCTTTCAGCAGAAGTAAAAATATCACTGTATTTTACGTACCTTTAAAGTATAGATAAATTTGAAAATAATATTTCATAGCAATGTAGTGCACAAAAGCATAGGTCGTCTTAAAGAATAAGTTGTCAAGAGATTGCAAAAGGTGTTTTAATAC